CCTCTGGGGCCTCCCTCCCCCAGCAGCAGGGGCAGCGGCAGCCCTGCCCGGGGAGGCTCTGCAGCAGGTCCCGAGGGAGAGGGCCCAGGGGCTGTCACTGCTGTGAGTGACACTGTGACAGAGCGTCCCGGGGCCTGGGGGCCTGGCCCTCTCTGGGAGGAGTCCAGAGCGCCCTGTGTCCATCCCAGGCCAGCGCACGGCGTCTGAGGTGCGACACCGGCCCCCGAAGAAGGTCCCCCCAAGGTGTTGGGCAGCTGTGGCCCTTGTCTTCTCCTCTGACCAGAGTGGCCCTCGAGGGCTCTCTACCCACCCACCCCCAGCACCTGCCGCCCACCCCCAGGCCACACCAATGCCGGCTGTATTGTCTCGCTGACCCCCCACCGCAGCCCCGGGAGGCTCTGCACCCCCCTGCCGGTGAGGAAATCGGGGCTCGGTGTGGCAGTGTCCCAAGTCACACACGGTGAGGGCCAGCCCCCTCCGCCAGGCCCATGGACTGCGTAGCAGGAAGGCCACATGCCCGGCGGAGGGGGCATCACAGTTGAGCAGACAGTGCCGTGGAGTGACGGGGGTGCCTGGGGTCAGCACAGGTGCCCGGAGCGGGCACCTCCCAAGGTGAGGCTGGGGGAGGTGCCCGGGGAGGCTTCCGGGGAGGGGCCTTGTTCCTGGGAGATGAGGGTGGGACAGCCAGTGCTTTGGGGCAGGGCAGCCAATTCAGATGCTGCAGGGGCAGCAGGAACGGAGTGAGCATCACGGACTAGGGAGACAACAGGGAGTGGTGGGGAGTGGGGCCAGCTAGAGGCCGCTGGCTCTCAGGGGAGCAGCTGCCTGTGCCGCTCGCTTGGCCTGGGGAGTGAGTGCTGGCACCTCCTCAGGGCACCGCGTCCCAGCTTCTGTTTCGGAAAGTCACTGTGGGCCCAGCACCCGCGGGGCCTCCAGTCTGTGCCCGGCCTCGCCTCCCTGTGAACTGGGCAAAGGCTGGGGCAGGGGCTGCAGCCAGGGCTGGGGCCTCGGGGAACCTCTTCGTCAGCGTGAGGGAGTCTCCCGAGACCGCCGTGGCACACCCACCTACCCAGGTACCCACGGGGAGTGCGCAGCGAGAACCGCACAGGAAGCAGCTGGCGCTGTGGGTCGGTTCAGGCTGACAAGGCGCCACCGGCTGGAACCTGCGGTAAACAGCCAGTTCCTCCCTCCGGGCAGAGCGCCCGGGCGGGTGCCAGGGTCCACAGGAAGTCCCTCCTCGGCCGGCCCGGCTCCCCTGCCCGGGCCTGGGCCTGGGTG